TATGGAAACTTAGTAACCCCAAATTATTGTGTTTGCAATCAATTCAAAAGTCGAAATTCTATTAATTAGGTTCGCCATCTACGCAAGTTCGCTTCTTATGATGCACTAAACGGCAAGGTCTCATCGGATATTCGGCTATTTGGCTACAAACTTTTGCCGTATATCCGTTATTCGGCCACCTCTAGTTTTAATGCACCACAAACCACTTTGGCTTCTTTCTCCTTACTCTATAATGATGGTTACTGGCAATAACACCGCCTGTTTACTTATCTTTTTGTGTTTTTTATGTTTCTGTAAGTGTGTAATAAAGTTCATTATATCTGTCTTTTTAGTCAAGCTGCGATTGATAAGGTAAAGAAGTGAAGTTTGGACTATTCATGAATCACCCAGAATTTTCAGCGTTTTCTTTTTCGTTTAACCTTCAGTTATAATAAACCTTTGTATCCAACACTCCAAAAGTCTAATGATGTTGTTTTTATCGTGTTCGGCTTGCGATGTGGAAGTTACGCAAGTCAACCAAAGGTTGGCCATAGGATGGGTGACCAAAAATTGACTAAATCGAATTTCTCCGCGCCTTGGAAGGTATGCTAAGGCGTTAGGCTCGGCTGCATCCGCAGTCGTTAAAACCCATTAAAACCCACCAATCCACACAGGGCGTGCATAGTGGGTACTAGCCATGGTCCATTCACTCTATTCAATTCGTTTCCGTCCTGGTAAGCCTGTGTCCCAGTAGTGGGGACATTTTTTATTTTGTTTTACATATATTAATTATTTTACATATGCAAATTATTACATTTTATAGGCGATGTCGCATAAACTCCGATGAGTTTGTACATCTTTATTAAAGGTAGTTAAATTTTAATAGGCTGATGAGGATGATTGGATCCAACATTGAAAAGAGTTAGGCGATATTTATAACCTTCAGAAAACCTTCGCCCGACTTCCATAGAAGTTTCTTGATTAAATTAAGTAGCTTTTAAGATAAGTATTATTTCTAACTTTTTTAAAGCTTGAAGTCGGTTCCATTTTTTGTAAAAAGAAAACAATTATTACAAGGTACTACTTTAATTTAATTATTTCTGATGAAACTTACCTAATCGTTTATTTAACAGTAAGTTAAGAAGTATCCGCACTAACCAACAAGTATAAGAAAAAGAACCTCACCACTTTTTTCTATTGTTACCAATATTCTAATTAGCGATTGGCAAAGAAATGTTATAACAAAGAGAACCTATTAAAAATTTGTCACAATCCAGTGTTGGATATACACCAGAAATTAGCTGCCAATCGCACCGAACACTATTATAAGTTGGGTCATTGTTTTACTGTTTCTAGCCCTCGCATGGAGACGCATTAGCCTTGTTTTTCATTTGAACAATTGATGACTAGTTAACTCGATTTCGTGTTCGGATTTGTTCAACATTCTGTTGTTAAATTTCATATAAATAAAATAGATTACTGAATATAGAATGATTGAACACACATGATAACATATTTAACAAACATAAAATAGTTAATATTATTCAAAAGCGTTAATAAATTCAGTGTGGTGTCCAAAAGATCGACTCGATTTGTGGTGCAGATTTTTATAACATTATGTACATAACTCAAATGTCGGTTTTCAGCTGACACCTTCGTGTGGTGATACTTTACATAAAAATTTATCTACCTACTGACCCAGGCAATATATGCCATGAACGTATATATTCTCAATGTAAAATGATTGAGCCCAAAAAAGAACAGCGTTTCAAATAATAAATATTCTGCCAATAATTATATCAGCTAACCTCAATTCAAAACGGAGTCAAGATATTATTAAAAGATCTTACAACTAGAATAATATTCATTTGAAATAGTGTCTTTCTATAACTGAATTTAGATACTTAGTATGTGTGGGATGTGTAATGTGTAATTTTATATTACTAGTTGACTGAAAAAAGCAATATAATAAAATGTAACTTATTAAATATATACTATTATCAATAATAACTAATAGATTGTCAATTTTTCAACTATATAATAATTGCGTTTCTAATGTCTCGTTTCAAATTTCAGTCAACTAACCAGTCAAAATATCTTGCAATAAGATAGAAATAATCGTAATTATATCACTAAACGTGAACCATTACAATCGTATCTCATTTTAATGTAATACTATTTTAGTAAAATTGTAATAACTCACTTTCGTATAACTATGTTCCAGTATGTAATTAAATCCCCAAAGACATTCTAAGGGTATTCTAGGAAAATTCATCACAGAATATAATTACATTGATGCTACACACAACTTTCACTGTGGCGTTTAATTTGTGACTTTTCGTGACGTCATCGTGAACACATGAATCGTGTGTGCCGTTGCTCCACGTGTTTGTCCCACTAGTGTACCTATTGACAGAAGCGCAGTTCTCCAAACATATTTAGTATACGTGCGTAAGTCCTTGTCAAACTATAGCTCAGCGCGCGTGATCGTGCCCTAGTCGTCGGGATCTCGCAGAATGTACCCAGCCTGAACAACTAGCACATTCGGCATTGAAACCAATCGAAATATTTATTTTTAGCGGAGTCAATTACTGATCGTAATCTCACTTTCATTGAATTTCACTCACTTCGTTGAACTTAAGTATAGATACAGATAGATAGAGACAATTCATATATTTCATAATTTTTGCTTTAACTATGTACATATATATATATATATATATATCGATATTTATCTTACAGGAAAATCCTACGAAAATTCAACAGCCCCAGTTTTTAAAATTATTGAAGTAAAATAAAAGCTGCTAACGCTCACTTATTAAAATTGATGCTGTCCTCCTGTAGATTATTTAAGAAAACTGGAAGGTTAGCGTTACCAGCTTTTATTGATAACTTTGTGTTATTAATAACAAAGCTTTTAAGTCACATTTTCATGGAAATTGTACAATATGGTTAAATAATACAGTAGACATTAGGATTTATTACCTATAATAAAAAAGTTTCTTTGACAGTAAAAGCATATAAAGATTTACAATCATAAGAGAGATAAAAAGAAATAAAAATGGGTTCATTTTATGCGCACTAAAATAAATACATAAAAAGGTATTAAATATTATATTTTATCAATTTGCATTCACAATGCTATACTGATAAATATCTTTAATGAAATATGCTTAAAAATCCACCAGCCCGAGGTATTCCAAGATAGGAGTCGATTTTTAGGGATTCTATTCTATTCTATTCTATTCGCTGTCTTGCCTCGTCCCGCGTCTCATGAACTGTCAAAGTAAGACAGTTGAAAATTTTAAAGAAGATGTATATCTGTTGCCGCTTCTACAACAAATACTAAACACTAGAATAAAATAAAGATTTAAAGGAGCCTCATACAACCCTTTGTGCACGATTCCGGCTCGCATTTGGCTGTTATTTAAGTACTTTTTATTAAATATATACGAGTATATAAATAATTATTATCAAGACACAAAACTACTTTCAGAATAACTTTTAGTTCGTAATTTTAAAGTTGCATATCGACAATTTACCTAACGAAATTAATATACTAAAAATGCACATGTTTACCGAACCCGCAGACCAATAACTGACGGACTGATTGCTTCTTTACTGTTACACGATAAAAATGTTTATTGGGCGACAGTTAAGTGTACCCATACGACTCGCGGCCCAGTAGCCAATATACTCTCAACTACCCTGTAACTAACCTGTATAAAACTTAACTCTGAATAGTTTCCTCTTAACGCAAATAATAAAATTTGTTATATTTTTTATAAATTAGTTAAATTTATTTAACACAAAAACTTTAATTCGTTTAATTTTGTACTAATGTTATAAATAGGTGATGTTTTTAGTTTTTTTGTGATTTATAATAATATGGATGATGACCAATTTTTGTTTTGTCAGTTATATTTTTGAAGAATATTATATTTTTTTTAAAGTATTTTTTTTTTTATATTGAGTTAAAATCTCGTATTACGTCATATCTTTGTTAATTTTTTACATAGTTGTGACCCAGCGAACCTCCACTCTATAACTTTAATGCCCATTATCTATTTCTAGTTAAATTGAAGAAAAAGTATATAGACTGATGGACTAAATAGTTTTTTTTATCCAGACTATTATTTACGGGGTATTTATAAGTTAGTAACAAAAATTAAAATTATGAATTTAGCGAGAACTTCAGAAATGAAAACATGTGGACCATTTAACTAAATTTTGCATTTTTAAATATTTTTAGTTAAAGTTCAATGACAGTTTTAATTGTCAAATGTTAGAGAATGTGAGGATATTGCACGGAAAATTATTTCCTACCTGTCAGATAACTTAATTTGACAGGTAGGAAATATTTTTCTGTACATTCAGTAGTATATATTTACAGAGGTTCAATGAAATAAACCCTATTTAAAAAGTATACAAATACTTCTATTTGACGACCTCTATGCCCAAATTTTCATGCTGGTTTCAAGGTGTCGCGATCTCTAAGGTCCCGGGTTTGATCGGGTGAATTCCTATATTAAATTTTTCTATATTGTCTTGGGTTTTTATCTGAGCAATGTATGCGTTGTTGTCTAATATTTGTTTTTTTCTTTCACTGAAGCTCTATCCTGTTACTGTGAAGAATGATCGACGTCGAGATAGATAAGTAAAATTAATTTTATTGAACTTTGTCACATCAACAATAATCCTAATACAAAGTTCTGCGGGTCAGCGGGCTAGTGGATTATAACATTTAATATATGTATGGAACCTTCAGTGCGTGAGACCGAGTCTTTATTTGTTGTTATTTGGATTCATATTGCAATTAATATAAAACTGAATGAAGCTACTTTAAATTTTAAAGTTAATGCATATCGAATGTGCTTTTTCAACATTGGTATCAGGAAAAAATATTGTCCGCTCCGATGGCCAAACCGGCGGACCGGCCAAATCGTTTAGTAAACACCGAATAGGTTCTGTACAAGTGAGGTACAACGATTTTAATCGAATGGAAACGGAACAAAGTGAAAATGTACACCTCAATTATTCGCACAGCCGGTCGATGGACAAATAACCACGTGTCAACGGCGATGGAAACATTGTGCGATGGATTGCGCAGTTACCGAATAGAGTCGAATTCAACATGTAAATTGAGGATGAAGCCGTCAAGATTGGCAAACAAGTTTCCGACCTGTCTGTGATTTGTGGCGCAAGGTGATCAATAAAAATATATGGATGCTATTTGAGTAGGTGCCCATAACAGACCGTAGTTTTTTTTTGTAGTAGATGCTCATGACAGTTGCATGTCATTTCTTACTTAAGTGTCTATTCAAAGGTCGGCCCTTAAACTGCACAATATCCTTACATGGTTAAAAAATATACTGTGTATATATGTCTGGATGTGAGAAATTTAAAACAAACTAACGATTTTTTATGCATTTTATATGTTTTATATCGATTGGAAAAGAAACATTGCTCACAAGACGCTTACATGCTATATAATAAAAATAAGCACAAATCAAATTAATAAATTAAATTTTACTGTCAAGATTGTAAGAACTTAAAAAGGACTGAGTAGTTTTTATTCTACTCGATTCTATATATGATTATCTCAAACTGATCTATAAATCATAAGTTCTATAGAGTGAAAACAATTCTTTGGCTAATTAACAGTACAGCCTGTTAATATCTGAGTCCATTATTGGATAAACCTCATAAAAAGAAGTCGATAAACGTAAAGCTTTGGTCCGCGATGCTTGCCCGAGTCGTCTCCTATAAAATACAAATAGAATCGATTGAAATGCAGGACGAGCTTGGCTGTTTACTTGAAGCCGTAGCGACGTTCTACTGAACTATAACCAAGATTGCTTTTTTCAGACTCCAGTCACTTGTAAATTATTTTAATAGTAAATTTAGACATATTTTTTTCTCAAGATTTTTCTTCTTTATTTTTATTAACTCAACAGCATTTTCTCTGACAAAATTAATATTACATGACGTAGAAGATGGATGAAATAAAGAAATATAATGATGGTATTAAAAATATTCAATTAGAAATTTTATTGACAATTGTGTTTTTAATTGACTCAATATTATATTCCGGAGATTAGAGATAAATTGTAAATGTAATAATAATTTATATATAATATGTATATTCCTTGAGAACATTAGTTGAACACAATGTCGAAGAATCAAATCAATAAAAGAGTTCCTAAAATATCATTTGCACGCATAGTATAATTATTATTAGGGCAGTAAGGCTGCCCACCCAAGTCACATTAATTGTAAGTCCAACGAATTGTATTCTACGTTTAATAGCATGTAGTTTTAACATCAAAATCATAAGATATATTTACTCTAATATTTCCTTAAAATTTTGTCACCAATTTTCTATCAAGAGTATGGGAACTACCGCTTAATAACTCATGCCTAACTCTACCAATGAACATGTTTCGTTAATAAATCGGTGAAGTAGTTAGTTTAACAAAACTAATTAAAACTAAAGCGGATGCCGTCATGATGCGTGTAAAATACCCATGACAATCAATTAGAACCTTTTTTAATCAATGAAAAGAAATCAATTATTGCGATAACAGATGGTTGTAAGCAGCCATCTAATGTACTACGCATTTCGTCATAAACATTCTAGTAGCGGGAAAGTACCTGTTGAGCACTATGAAACTTGCATATTGTAAGATTACCATGTTATAATAATCTGTTTAGAAAAAGAATGATCAAAATTACAGTGATAGAATAATCAATAGTATATTTTGTAACGCTTATTTCAAGGTATTGGTTTTTTATTTCTATTGTTTTTGTTTAATTAATCGACATTTTCTTCCTTAGATTGTATTATAATTATTTTGAAATTTATCAAAATATCAGCAGACGACATTATTAAAACTGAAGATATCAACGAAATATTAGACACTTTAATCAAGCAGGCTGAAAATGGCAACCAGAACGGTGTGTACATAGATAAAGTGGAAAAGAAAACCAACGATTCGTCAAAGATAATATATTTGAAGCCAAATAATTCTGTTGACTCTCGATCACCAACGGATAGCGAACTTAGTGAAGAGATTATAGTGGAATTGAAAGAATCTACCAGTGAAGAAACAATAAAAAGGCAAGATGGTGATAATATTTCAAGTCCTTATGTTCAAAATCAGAGAGGTAAAATTTTTAATGATATGAATGATAAAGTCATAAATACGTATTTTAGAGAGCCTCGAGAAGAGTCGATAATAGAAAAACATGATAAAATAGGGAAAATTCCTTCAGCAAATAATGATGACGGATCAAGTTTAGCGATGATTTTAAAGAATTTATTTGAAAATAGGGATTTAAGTAAAAGTTTGGAAGATAATGGCACGAATGATTTTAAAAAAGATAAAATTATAATTCGGGAGGACATCCCAAACGAAGATAACGTCAGCGTAAGAATGGGTATGAAAGATAATGAATATCCATTACAAGAAATACCGCGTAACGGTTACGAACTAGATTATCGAACTCCCTTTAGACAACTTCCCCTTACAGATCAACTACAGAACTCGATACCGCAACATTTCTTAGCTCAAATATTGCAGAATGAAGCAAATATGAATATGAATTACTTGCCAAATTTCTTGCCAACTTATAAAAGTCCTGTCCCAAGTATAACACGGACTGTGATACATCAAAGTGGAATTGCATATCAACCTCACGGCTCATATCTTGGACATCGGATGTCAGGTAAATATAAATAAACATTATTAGTATAAGACAGATACATTCCTGTAATTGTTAAACCAGTTTAGGATATTCAAAATGGTAATGCCATTCTTTTCGATTATTGAGATTCACGAAGTTTTAGTTAAATCTGATTAAAACATCAAATAAATATTATAGAAAATCACATACGTTGCTCAGATTCCACGATGACTAATGCTCTCGTATTATGGAGTGTTTGAGACAACATCTAGACCCAAGGCAATATAGAATGTTCATTTTCTACATTGAACCGTCATGAATCGAACCCCCAAAGATGGCAACACCTTGAAATCGTCGTGCGAACTCTGCTCGGCTGCGGAGGTCGTTTAAATTCACTTACACTGTAAAAAAAAATATTTACTTCGCACTTTAATTTAGATAACGAAAAGTAGAGAATAGATTTTCTTGATACTTTAGACGTAGATACCATTATAGTTGCAGTATTAACGATCGGTATTATATTAAACCGTCATCCGCAGCTAGTTAGTAAAGTTTGTATCGGAATACAAAGAAGTCACAGCTATTCGGCATCTAACTAGTGCTATCACAGACGGGCTCAAAGATCTAGTTAGTTGCGGAGTCGTGTTTGTTCGTACATGGTTAAGAGCGAAATGACATTGGATCTGTTTTGCTAACTCAGTTTTGGATTATGTTTCAGTAACCGTGTTATGTAGTCATTATTGTATCATAAAATAATAGATTAAAAACGACTAACGAATAATAAATAATGATGATGATTATGAATTTGACAGCGGTGTTGTGTTACCAACAAACTAAGAACTCAATATTTATTTTTTAAATACTTTATTTATAATAGAACAATTGGACTGTTGTCGAATATTTTTGTTTTTAATTTTCTGAGAATAGCAATTCATAAAGTTGCTTAAAATAAAATATTAGTATTTCCTTCCATATTTTCGCAGAAGTTTAGGAGAAGATCGTGTAATTCGCCGACACAATGCTCGTGTTGATTAATTAATAACAAAACAGAATATGTTTTAAGTTGCACTCTAGATATACTTGAGGTACCTCTGTCAAAGATTAGTGACGTACCCGGTTTGGTTGTCTTGATTGGTTGACCAAAGATATAAATAAATAGAGTGTTAAAAGTATAAATTCGGATGAAAAGGGGAATGAATGCTGATTTTATATTAGTTTAAGATGAATACAGAGAATCTAAAGATAATCATTCTTGATAACCCATCATATGACCTGACCTTACAGAAGTTGCATAACTTCCGTATCGTAGAGCGAACGTGTTAACAACTCCGCCATCGTGCTCATCAATCTCAAATCATTTTCAATGAATTGAACGATAACTCATACTGGTATTTGAATACCAGGATTCCAGAACTTCTGGAAGTTACTTCGGTACATCCCTATTTAAGATATAAAAAATAAGTTCAAAACTAAAACCAAACATAGCAAAAACTGGCATACGACTACGCTTTCCTTTGGTCATCGCTATTATAAAAGAGCTATCACTATAAAATAAATTTCTTGTTTTCATTTTTTTAGAGCGTGATTAAACTGTAGTCGAGTGTTAGTTTTTAAACTTATTTTTTTATTTAATTAATTTTCAGATGTATTTAAGCAAATGCTATCAATATACGTATATATTTGAAATGTGCTAATTAAGCCCTTTCATTATTTTCATTTGATACCCTACACGGAATGATTGAATAATATTTTTTCTAGTTTCTTACTTAATGCTTGCTAGAGGGCGCTGTTGCTTATTTAATGTAACGTCACATAGCCTATATCACGCGGACAACTAAGAAGCTTCTAATGACACCTCATTTGTCCAGTTACGATGAGAATACACTTTTATAAATATAAGATTTGATTGTATACTGATTAATATGTATCTATTGTGAAAGAACGTAAAATTTATATAGTTAGATCAACGTGAAAATAGTTGATCTGTTTTTTATGTTTTGTATTCGAGAGTCTATTTTGGGATAGAAACGGTAAAAAGTAAATTCAAAGCCAATAGGATATATTTTTTACCTCATTTAGAATTTTATAGTACCTAGACAGACGATTCAAATGTCCATGGCAGCAGTCAATCACCTGACCAGTCTGAGAGCTGAATGAATGAAAACAAATAGCTTAAGCACTCACTAACTGTGTAGATATTTAAATTGGGACCAAAATTTGAATGACAATAGAAAGAAATAAATGCAAAGTATTTTGCACCATGAAAGCTTTGAAAAAGGCAACTTGTTTGTTTTGGTATCGGAAAACATATTTTTATAGATTTCTACTTGCAACGTAATATTTTTTTGTGGTTTATTATTCTAACGTCCACAATTTTGAGGTTTCCTCCTTTAAGACTTTGAAGTCGGTTAAAAATATTCTTAATTAAAAACGCTTAAACATTCAATTTGTCATTGGTATTCTGAGATGGGATTCGAAACCATGACCTTTATCAAATATAATAATTAGAACAAATTTTTATCTTCATCAAAAGTTTTAAATATTTGTAAAAATATTTCTATTTAAAAATATATTACAGTCTAGTATTGTGAATGCATAATGGATCAAAAATAATCTAAAAGTTTTTATAAAAGTCTAAATATCTTATTTCATAAGATTGTTAGTTTACTATATTTATATATTTTGTGCTGTAAATATATTGGTAGGAGACGGGAGATTATATTATAAGATGTATAATATTATAATAAGAAAGACCAAAAATAAAAAAGCTAAGCAAAATTATATTTTTTCTTTGATTAGGCCAACAGTATAAGTCAAATAACAAATGAGGCTATATTTTCATATTTACCGTATCTCTAACCATTATTGAAATTGATATCGATTAGGTCATGGCAAATACATTCATCATTAATTAAAAAGTAATTTGTATAGAAACACTGGTCAAAAATTCAGTTTGTTGTATGAAATATAAAAAAAAGTATTGTAAGTATATGTTAATAAATTTTAATAATTTCAGGGTCACCTTGCTGCATTTCCTGAATATCTACATCGATATATTTCATTCAGAGGAAAGTCAAACTTAGATTAAGATAATAAAATAAATAATAGTTTCTTATAATTTTTACTTAATAAGGTGAATATTGGTCGTAAAACCGTTAATAGAATAGTCTAGAAAAGAACAAAACAAAAATGTTTGAGAACAGCGATCCAGAAACTGTTGGAAAACAAAAATATGGAACCCTAAAAAATTGTGTTGATTAATTCATAATATGTTAACCTCTTTTTATTTGAATTATCGTATCTGCTTATAGATTTGTTGTAGAGTAATTTATATATGCTTGTTTTTGCATCATTACTTTTTAAATATTTTAATACTGTAAATTGCTAAGCCGATTTTAAGTAAAAATGAGAAAACGATCAACTCTTCGTACTATGAGGGACATATGATCAAAAGTCTGAGGAAACTCATTATAAGGGGTTTTAGTAGTTTTTGTTTATTTTGTCAGTATCGTCTTTCTATTTTTGCGTAGTTTTGCTTATATATATATTATTTTGAATTGATACTTGTCGTTATTCTCAAAAATTATAAAAACTATTCTAAATTTTATGTGCCTTCTGTTCACTTGTTTTATTATTATTTATAATATTGAATTAAGTGTAAGCTAGTATTATGACAGAAGAATCATCACCACAGACGGTATAAATAACCACTGACTGACGGTAAATTAACTTCAACAAGAACAGTGGTTTAACTCTCCCGCATACATCACTTCGACATAAAATTTTCATTGCAGAAAACGTATTCAATTACTGTTAAAAAAAAAATAACATACTTCCAACTAGAATAATATAACTAGTAGACACGATTAAAATAATTCACAATATTGACGTCGATAAACACGGCCGTAATATCAAAACTACTAATTATTTCAAATTTATTTTGTTGTGACCAAAACAATTTTCGCAACTTAAAAGCTAAACAATCCAGGCATTTTGTACAATAGTGACACATATTATTGGTCTTCCGTACATAATCTACGGCTGTATTAATGTTTCACTAGATGCAATTTACATTGAATTTTAAGAAGTGATTCAACACTCCCTTCTGGCAAAGTTTCCCGGACTGCCCCTACATATTTTACTTAACTCCGAATATTTGCAAGTTTGTAATCGATCTCTAATGGCTCATTTACATTGATCGAAATAAGCCGCATGACAAGTGTATGCTCGTTTTGATTGATCGTTTGACTATATTTACGTTTTTTTATTTAATCTTCATGTATTTTTCTTAAAAAACAACCACGTGTCAAGACTATGTGTTGAATACTAATAAAATATTTTATCTGTATAAGTATTGGTACTTATTTTTATAATATAACTCGTTCAAAAAAGGCTATTGAAAGTCCGCTTAACAGGCAACTAATCGGTTAGATTTTTTCGATCCCCACGCATCGTCCCCCTCGGGGGAAACGAACACATTAATTTTTCATTGTTGGGCAACAGACAGGGCGCATTATAACAAGACAACTTCGTACTCGCACCGAGTAATCCTTAGCGTGTATTTTCACGGCGCATTTTAATCTCCGCGAGCAGCTTTCAATAGCATTTCACACATATAGAAAAGTTTCGAAAATGTTTCAAACTCCGTACACTGGAACGATGAAGTTGCAATGTTAATGTATTTCCTCTTTGTATTAATAACTTCTGTTTGTTAAATACGCTTGTCTAAGTACTCGCCGGCTGAAAGTAATATTTATTGTTAATATATTATGTGTTTATTTCTTTTCATTATTTATTAGAAACTTTGCTAATGGTCAGTACATATATTAAAAACCATTGATCCAAGGAAATATTTTGTATGCATTTGAAATTAGTGAGCAAATATTTTCCTGAGGTAGGTGAGATGACGTTCTTATTTTATATAAATGTTTATTATTATTTTTATAGTTAAAGAACGCGCTGAAGTTAAATTGACAAATATGTATATAGATATACATTTTCTATCGTAACATTTAGATACTTAAATACTTATTGTTTTTCATTTGATAATGAAAAT